TGTGCAACAAGATTTTCCAAGCTCATCATAAGAGCGGCACCAACCACCTCAAACGCTATTTAGATAAACACAAAGGTCAGACGCCTCAATGTGATATCCGACAATCTATGATCTCGCGATCCTCAACTTTCGGTACTCTCGGAAGTTGGAGTTATGACGCAGCTCGTGCTAGGAAATGAGTCATCAAGTTTATCATTCTTAAGAATCTTCCATTTATATTAGTAGAAGATGATGAATTTGAAGATTTATTTACAGATGGTTTTTACCCCGCATTTAAAAAAAAATCTCGTCAAAACTTGTCAACGTGATATTTTAAAATATTATCAGGAGGAAGAAGTAAAAATAATTTCTTGTTTTCAAAGTTTAAACTGTAAATTTTTTTTAAATTCAGATATTTGGATATCTAAAGCACAAACTGGTTATTTATGCATCACAGCACACTAGATTGATGAAAATTAACAAATGTTTAAAAGAGTTGTTTTCTTTATTGTAATTGAAGAGTCACATACTGATATTAATATTACAAATTTAATAATTGAAGAACTTATGAAACTAAAAATTTCAGAAAGAATATTTTCTCTTTCACTAGATAATGCAAGTAATACTAATGTAGCTGTGGGTTTTATCAAAATAACACTGATTTTATCAAAACAACACTGTCATTGCCATGTCATGGTGATCTTTTTCATATTAGATGCATCTGTTATATTTTAAATTTAATTGTTCAAATTACATTTGCTGAAATTAAACCCATGATAGAAAATGTTAGGTCAGTAACTTATATGCATAATGTTTCTGAACAAAGAATTAGAAGATGAAAACAATTCTGTAAAAGAAAAAATATAAACCTCAGACTAATTCCAAAAGATGTTGATCATAGGTGGAATTCCACCTATGTAATGTTAAGTGTAGCAATATAATATAAAAAATTATAAATAATTTATTACTTATTATTCTTCTAGTTCTAGCTCTGGTAGCACCTATGGAATTACTAAAGAGGAATGGATAATTATAAGCGATTTAAAAGATATGTTATAAATTTTTTAGGATGCTACAGTGTTATTATCTGGTTGTTATTATCCAACCATTAATTTAGCTGTTTTACAAATTTTAAATATTCAAAAAAAATTGCTAAATATCATATGGATGATACTTTTGGAGCTATAGTTTTTCAAATGTAGAGTAAATTTAATAAGTATATTTTAGGTTGGGACTACATGCAATGTCTCTTTCAAAGTGTGAAAAAGCTCTTTTCCCGCATCATCTTTTAAGACTTTTATCGTTTTTATTGGATTTGCTTGGTGGGTGATGTTGGCTTGTAGTGGGTCGCCGTGCCAGGGTGAGGGACTGAGCAATCAATGCAAGCGGGAGTTATCTTAAGATTGCAAAGAAAATGGATCTCAATAGGGTTGCGGCAAAGTGGTGGTCAGGGTTCCATGAGGGGTTCCAGGGGCATGCATTAGGTGTAGGATCATCGAAGGAAGTGGTGACCAGAGTCAAAGCCGCCAGGGGAATGTGCGTAGTGCCGCGAAACCCCCTCAGGGGCCACGATGATCGGGGAGGAAGAAGTAGATCTATCTAGGATGAGGATGGCCGCTCTAATGCCATGATAACTAAAGCAGAAAACTTATATTTCATACGAGCATGATGACATGCATTTATACGGTATGAAGACAGACTTAATATGAAAAGCGTCACTAGAGGTAGAAAATAAAGCAGAGATCATGCTATCTAATATAAGATTATATGCTGCCTAAAAGAGAAGATAGAATATCAAAGGAATATATGTTACTATCTTTAACAGACTTGGACCTGTTTTGTCGAGGTATTTTAAAAATGATCATATATCAACAGATTACTAGGGAAAAAAGATATTCTTAGAATGCTTTCATTACAGACAACGAGAGTTTAACTTTATGTCAAGTATCTTGCGTATTCGCATTGTACTATAACGAAGATTCAATATACTTGTAGGTAACTCGCATTGTACTATAACGAAGATTCAATATACTTGTAGGTAACTGCACGGTGGAAAATTCTTAACAACAAGCCCCCATGCGTCACAAAACTGTGAGTCTTGTTAGGCAAAAGCTACGCCAATTTTTTTTCTAGGCCAAAAAACCTCCTTAAACCACCAGTTCTATTTTGACTTTGACTCGTCTCTCCCCGAATCAAAACAAGACCTATTTACTTCAAAACTGGACCATAATCAATTCCGATCCGATCCAATTTTAAGGAGCTTTCCAAACTAGCTTCAAGGGTTTATTTATAGGTATGATGATGGTTTTCGCACTGCATTACTCAAAATTTGTCGATAGAAAACGTACACATGCCCTTCATCTGACTCTTGCGCCAACCTTGAAGTTGATATGAGATTTGAGTCAGATGAAGTGATTTTATATCTATTGACCCACCCTAGTTTCAGAGCCCCAAACAGCGCATAATTTGATCCATTATGTTTGGCATTGTAGAGATCATTGCTGATTGTATTTGTATCTAGACAATTGCAATCCATTTTTTGTCGGTTCATTAAAACTGTCGTATTCTACGAATCTCCCATAGGCAGGATGTCGCTGTAATTAGCAATAAAATAGCAACTCGCGAGAATCTTCACTGACGAATATCTTTCTACTTGCAGCAATTGAGACAGCAGCAGCTGAATCTGTCGCCAAAAGGTCGAATTGAAGGCTCCATATTTTTGTGGCTAAAATTGATTTGGCGGGAGCAGAACCTGCATCAAACAAGTGAAGAATCCTAAAGTGCGTCTCTTTTTAGCGCAATACACCAACCGCAGCTGAGAATCTTCGGCAGCATTTAACGGTTTTGAACAGTGACATCAAAATATTGAGATTCATACGTTTGCTCGTTGATGAGAATAACTGAGGTAGGAATAATAAGCTTAAAAGGTTAATTAGAGATGATAATAATAATAATAACAACAATGCTAACTTATCTTGAAAGTTATTTTCAAGCTCAGAAACGATATGCATAATGAAATTTGTAGATGGAATTGGGAGCACTAGGTTCCGTGAGACATTGCCAGGGTGCATAATAAGGAGCAAAATAAACGTCCGAAATGCATTTGCAAAATATTATTTCTTAGGAATTTCTTTCTTTATGATTCTAATTTAAATATGAGCTCTTCTAAAAGGAAATGTAACAGATGGAAAGATAAAACATCCATTAGGGCAAAAAGATAAGTCAATTATGTGGAGGGAGGTGGATTATGGTAACTAACAAGGTTTTTACATCAGACGTTGAAGAAAATTTTAGACATGAAGTGACGAGAAATATATACTGAAGAATGCTATTCAATCAAAGATATAGCTTAACGGAAACTAAAATGAAGTAATCACAAAACTTCGGGTTCGCTTGGTTGGATGGAAATAGAGTTGCAAAATAAATAGAGCAACAATAAATGTCTGGTTTGTAACTTTGTGTTGTGCGCGGCGGAAGCCAAAACCAAACCGATGTGCTTCGAGAGACCAAATCAAACAAACGCCGAAAGAAGGCCAAACAATGCAAAATAACGGCACTAACACAAACAACCAATTTTAACGTGGTTCGGCAAGTTGCATACTTCCACTGGACAAGATGAGGTTTTCACTAATAGAGAAGAAGAGTACAAACTAAGATTACAAATCGCTCAAAACAATCATCTAATCTCACCAACAAAGCTCTCAATCTCTCAAACAATAACCCTAACCAATAGCTCAGAAAATACCTCTTTTATGTGCTCAAATATCCCCAAAACAATTCTCAATCAAAGCCAAAGAAACTCTAAAACATGTGTTTGTATTTATAGCAAACACCAATCCAAATCAGAACAAGAAACTGCAACTTGGGCCTGACCCGACACGCGGTCGACTGTCACGGTTGACCGCGACAAATGACAACCCAAAATCCAATTACAAGGTTCAACAGTCGACCTCGGCAGTCGACCGCAACCAACTCCAGAGCCGAAAATAGATTACTGGGTTTGACGATCGACCGCGACGGTCAACCGCACAAAACCCAGAATCAGTTCTCAGCTCCATGCACGAATTCGGTCGACCGGCCTTGCACCGCGGTCCACCGACAAACTCCAAAATAGAACCCTGAGCGCCAAAACATGTTCTTCTTCGAACCCTTCGCCAAATCTACACTTTGTAATTAGAAAAGGTAAATAGACTTGCATTTTGTAGAAAAAAACTTACAAGTAGTACGGCCCATTTGGCAGGATGAAAAATTGAAAGCTTCAAAAAAGAAAATTTAAAAGAAAAAAGTCACCTCATCAAAATAAATCTTTTTAAATCCAAATAGAAAACAACTCACAAGTTTCCTTACATGGCTTTCACACTAATTGCTTTTCAACCAAACACTGAAATTGTATTTCAAATAGACTTCCTACTACAAATGTTGCATGCTACACTTGCTACAATTTATTTCCTCAGCAAACCAAACAGCCGTGTGTCTTCAAACTATAGTTAAATGGAACTCCATATGATAGAGAAAAAATCATCAGAAAAGATAAAAGAATACAAGCATGCTGGATCCACAAGCAGCAAAATGTAAGCCATAAAATGTAGATGGATACGGTTTGGAAGCTGCATCCACAAGCAGCAGAATGTAAAAGACAGAAAGCTCTGGCCTACAATTTCTGGTTCAATTAAAAGTAGCTTTGCACGACCAACGCAGCAGCAAAATGACACATGAAAATTCACCATAGGCGGTATTTCAACGCAATAAAAAATAAGGGAAATCTATATATTTAACATAGGACCAGTAAAATTCAGTTAGATGATGGAACTAACCAGACAACAGAAACCTAAGCCATTTTATTAAAATCACAGCTTGAAAGTAGAAATACAAAGGTAGCTTACAAAGATCAGTCCTAGCAACTACGTGTAAATATACAGTTCTATATGATCAAAATAACGCTAAAGCGACAAGATCATTAAACAAATCACGTTACTGCATCAACAAAACAGTAAATATACCCTCACCAACAAAACAGTAAATATAAAATAGCTCCAACATTAAATATAAAGTAGCTCACAAATCTTTGATTCACAGTTCTAAACTACTAGATGCATAAATAATTCAACTCACAAAGACTCCAGGCTACAGAAATAAAATAACAGACGAGCGTCAAACAAGACACAAGACCAAAAAAACCCAAAGCAACCCTGTATAAGGTTATCAAGGCACATACAACACGCGCTAATACGCTACAAAAAAATCCCAGAACATGCAACTTTACGGCTAAAAATTAAACAAGTTTCATAGGATTAAGCATAAATTCAAATAAAAATACCTAGACCAAGCTTGTTTAAGTATCAAAGCACTTCCCAGTGCAAAAGAGAGTTTTCCTCACAGGAGATCTGCGACATTAGAGGGAAGCTCCTCAACCACCACATTGTAAAACTTCTGGATATCAAAGAGCATCCTCTCATCATCACGAGTCACAAAGTTGATAGCAACACCCTTTCGCCCAAATCGTCCACTACGTCCAATACGATGGAGATAGTCTCGGTTGGGTAGGAGAGATCAAGTGATTAACACAGCGACACCATGCTGAAGCATCAATACCGCAGCAAGGAGATCATGTAATTAAACACGGGATGAACCAGAACGGAACTCGCGCATGATAATGTCTCGAGTGTTCTGGTCCATGTCACCATGAGTGGCTGAGACAGTGTGATCCCTGCTCCTCATCTTGTCGGTGAGCCAGTCAACCTTGCGACGAGTGTTCACAAAGATCACACTTTGTGTGATAGCGAGGGTTTCGTAGAGGTCACAGAGGGTTTCTAGCTTCCATTCTTCCTTCTCGACATTGACGTAGAACTGCTTGATACCCTCCAGAGTGAGTTCATCTCTCTTCACGAGAATCCTCACGGGCTTGTTCATGAACTTGCGGGTTATTTCAAGGGCCTCAGGGGGCATTGTGGCAGAGAAGACTCCAACCTGAACTTTTGAGGGTAGAAGCTGGAAGATATCGTAGATCTGGAAGGGTAATACCAGTAATCAATATAGGATAATACCAGCAAACAGTACAAGACTATTTGTTATGCTCATTTCCTGTCATGACTCTTGACTCAGTATATTTGGCAGTGAATATAATGACTGTATGAGAAGTTTACATTTGACAATAAAAAGAATATGCAAAATGTAAACTATGAAGAGAGGTGCAAGAATATTTTTCAGGAATGTTAATTAACTTACTAAATGCAAGGACTGAAATTCAACCAAAAAAATCCAGTAACACTGAGAGAGTTGTTTTCAAATTTTTTTAGGGGTCGAGATTTTTTTTTGGGTGGGGGTGGGGGGTGGGGAGGTGAGAGAGGATCTGTTTTAAGAATGTTCTACATGGCAAATATTATGATTATAACTTTTTTTTTGGAAGGGGGGGGGGGGGGGTACAAGGGAAATTTAGCAGGCAGCGAGGCAATCAACAGGCCACAGAGCCGAAGTACAATCCCTGACCCCTACCAAGTAAACCCTGAATGTGTGGGTCCCACCTCTCATTTCTACACTCCAGGTTAGGCAGACAGAATTAAACCAGGTCCCTGGTGGGGGGTATTGTCAGTATTACCACTGCGTCCCACGGCCGGGCCACCTGAGCTACCCGCAGTGGGTTATAACATACTTGCCGTTAACTTGTGATGGCCTATGTTTAGAGATACAGCTGCAGACTGATGCCGGTGAAGGTGATGGTCATAAGAGAATTAAATATCCAAATCATATGTGAAAAGGGTTTTTCAATATACTGCCCTTCAAGTTAAAAGTATTTTTAAATTTGCCCTCCAAATCATTGCAATTGCTTATTTGCTTGTTTTTTCCTTTCAAATTTACCCACAATCTAACTCCTGTTAGAATTTTAACGATTTGTGTGGCATATTTACCTTATATATCCTTACTTGAATTCTTAAGAGGAAAGAGAGCAATAGCGGCCTCCCAAAACACTTCCCCTTTGAGATCGAGTTTGCTTTTAACAATATAATCGTGGTCATCAGAGGTGATAACTTTCTCCAGCTGCATCTTGTCATTTTGTTCCCAACTGGGGATGTGAGGTAATGAAAGCAGTCTAAGCAAAAATTTCAAGGTTCTCGATCAGGTTCAAGTTCTTGTAAAGGGGATTGATATGAAAATGCCTCTTCTAGCTATACATTATATTCTTTAAAGCCACAAGAATTATTGGCTATAGTCGGCTTAGATCAATTCTCTTTGACAACGTGAACAAAGTTTCGCCGCAGAAAGAACCAGAGCAAAAGGGCGGGGAAAAGAGGGGGAGAAAAGATAAGACAGAAGAAATATAGATAAATTAGAATTGTTATTTAGCACTAATCTTTAATTTAACTTAATTTCTTAAAGGGTAGATTAGACATTTTTAAAAGTGGTTACTTGTTTCAACAGAATATTCTACATAGATTCTCTATTAAGTACGTTAGAGGATAAAATTGAGAAAAGAGACAAATTAAGGGGTAAATTAGCAATTACAAGGATTTGAGGGGCAAATTTAAAAATATAAAAGATTTGAAGGGTATATATCGGAAAAACCATTATGAAAGTAAAGGACAAAGTTCAAACCTGGTCCTTGAAACCACGTGAAAGCATTTCATCAGCCTCATCGAGAACAAACATCTTAATGTAATCAGGGCGGAGGGATTGCCTCCTTAACATGTCAAACACACGACCAGGTGTGCCAACAACAACATGAACCCCACTTGAAAGAATACGCTGATCTTCACGGACACTTGTTCCTCCAACACAAGCATGAACTTTTACCCCAAGGTAATCACCCAGTGCTCGCATGACCTTTTCAATTTGCTGTGCCAGTTCTCGAGTAGGAGCAAGGACCAAGGCCTGGCATTCAACCACACCATAGTCAAGCTGTTGAAGGATTCCAGAACAGAAGGTTGCAGTCTTTCCTGTGCCCGACTGTGCTTGTTGTATAACGTCAAGCCCCTTGCAGAAGGGAACAATACCCCTTTGCTGGATTGCAGATGGTTTCTCAAAACCTGTACAAAAAATATCAGTGCTAAATCATTGCTACCAATAATATCTTGAGGAGCTGAGACTAAAACAGCTTTACCATAAGCGTAAATTCCTCTAAGAAGATTCTCTTGAAGACCCATATCATCAAAACTTTCATACACCTCATCATACGAAGTGAAGAAATCTTGTCCATCGCCACCGAGCCTTCAGTCATACACAATCAAAGTCAAATATGAAGTTAATTAACATAATACAGCTCATAAAAGATAACGAATAACCCAGTCACTGTGATTAACATTCAAAAGTAACAAGAGAAGGGCAGATTGTGTACAGATCATTCATTTTGGAATCATATTGACGAGCATCGAATTGAGAGCCTTCTGGTGCCAAGCCTGCCATGTCTGCAAACAAATGGTAAAGATGAATTAAAGGAGTTTCTCTAAAATATATTATGAAAGGAACTGATTACTGAACTCATCTACATCAAAATTTTCTTTGAGATCCCAAACTAATAATAAACATAAGACTAAAAACCAGTCTCTAATCTGAAGTGCATCACAACATAACACAATTCCAAAGACTTGACATCAATATGCCCCCATACCAACATTGTACTACAGACTGTCTAAAAAGTATCTAGATGATCTCGTGGGTATAATGTGCAGCTACCTGGTTGTTCAACATTGAAGGGGCAACTAAAAATATTTAGCTATTTAAGATGAAAAGTAGCCGATTTGAACTTCAATACAGCCAGAACCAAATATCTTTAACTGAAAAAGAATAAGTTCGTCGGTCATTTTTATGTGAGGCACATTTTGTAGATGTCACTGTAGTAATCAGACTAAAAGATTCATCTTTAATCACTATTGGTGATAAATACATCCTTCTAAACACTTGTAGAAAAGTACTTCTAAGGAAAGAAGTTCTGTAGAGCTAGGGTACTCGGTTCGTGTGAATTAATATGAAGTGGGTACTTGAAGCGATTTTGGAAAGAATGTTGGGTAAGCATAGGTGTTTAAGAGGATATTCTGATACGCAAATGGGTAAATAAAGATAATATTTAAATTTAGTCAGAAAGCCAGGAAAGATCAAGGTCAACAGGATATCATGCAGTTCTTTTATGGGAAAGAAGCCAGATATTTAGCTTCAATGAACTCTCTAATTAGACTAAGCTTATCTAGAAAGCTACTTGTCAAACTGATAACAGAAAAATCAATTATGAAAAATAAAAATAAATAGAAGCAACGCCAAACACGTCCTCAGACTATGGAAATTACAGTTGCATGATTTAGCAATAAAATTGACATGAAAGATCTAAAACTAATAGTGTAGAGTTGTATTTCCACAAGGAAATAGGAATGTATCGACATCAACATTTAGGAAATAAATTTAGACAATTTCAACCGTGTTTTAATAAGTCCAATAGACAGATTTAGAAACGATAAATTTTTAAAATAGACAGATTTTGTTAAATATTTAGCAAAATCGACCACTTTGCTAAATATTTAGCAAAATCGACCTCTGTTTGGCCAACAAGCCTGTTCTCGACCATCGCCAACGCAACCTCCGTCCAGTCCAAACTCCGCGACGTCTCCCTAAATCAAGCCCCGACCCAACCACGGCAAGCTTGCTGAACAAGTGCTACGGCATGTTCTCGAGGAACATGACGAGCCTGAGGATCGTGGCGGACTGCGCGGTCGTGAGGGATTACGCCAGGGCGGGCGACCTGGTGTTCAAGTTCGCATTGATGCCCGGGGACTGTGATGAAGAGTACAGGGAGAAGAAGGGGAAGGAGTCGTCACTGACGAAGGAGGACCTGGGGCTCATGGACTTGACGCTGACGGAGGGGGAAAGAGGGTGAGGGGCGCGGATTGGTGGAGGAGGAGGAGGTGACGGTTTATGGAGGGAACTTGAGGATTTGGGGAATTTGAGGGAGATTGAGAAAGAGGGGAGATCGGTGAGTGAGCTGATTAGTTTCCTTAAACATACGGGACTAGTAGTCCCGTAACATACAGGATTAGTCATGTATGTTTTCAGCTAGACATTTTTTTAAAATCGACCTCTTTTTGGCCCGATTTTGCTAAATATTTAACAAACTGGTCAATTTTGCTAAATATTTAACAAAATTGGTCTATTTTAAAAAAAAAATCCCATTTAGAAACCCTAAGATTGACGAAGATGCATCAGAGTAAGAAGCATACTGAATTGCATTGTAGATAAATGGTATCTGACATTCTGATTTAACCAACATTTAGTTTAAGAACATTTGCCAAATCCTTGACCAATAATTAAAAATTAGGAAGGTCAATGGACATGAGCCAAGGGCGTCGAGTTTCCTTTGAACCTGTCCAATCGACAAGTCATGTTGCATTAAAATCAGATAAAGTTAGACAACCATACTCAAACATTTATTCCAACTTTCGAAATTTCGCTTAGCATCTATTTGTTTCTAGAGGTAAGACCATCATCTCAGTGCCATTGACATGACCACATTCTACTTTTACTAGTCAGACAAACAACCAAAGATGCAAAAATAAACAAAAACACCAATAAGATTCCCAAAATTATAAATATAAGCAGTCAAGCAAAGGTCGTACAAGCTCATATTCTTTACATGAACCAGATAAGCCAAGGCAAACACTTAAGTTGTAATCTATACAATAATGAACAACGTATTCACAAAAATACTAAGTAATTACGCATCACAACAAAAGATAGATACATCACACAGTCTAAACAACAAAATATCCAAAAAAATCTTTAAAAAGAACTAATACTGCGACCATAAGATGTCCCTTTGCTCCGACTAATTTCAAGGTAAACATAAAGTCATTCAACAAATTCGAAGAATAAAATTAACTAAATCAAAACCTCGAGAATAGAATACGTTTAACGAAAGTGATACGATTAAAGATCATAACTTTCCAATCTAGCAGAAATAAAATAAATAAATAATATCAATTTCATATCGAATAACTAACTACCCCCGAGTGAAAACCCTAGATCTAACTCAGTACGAAACCCTAAATCTATCGAAAACAATACTAATTCATCAAAACCTACGAAACGCAATCAGATCCATAGATTTCACAAACTAACTAAAAAACCACACAGATTTTGGAACGCATCCGAATCTAATGAAAGAGATAGCCACAACATCAATTGAATATGAATCTAACCGAAGAAAAAAAATAAAAAAGGACGAGGATCTAGTAAAAGCTCACTTGATTGTTGATCGCAGTCGAGAGCGAGATCGAAAGAGAGAGAAAAAGCAGCCGCTGCTTTAGTCGCCGGAAAGAGAGTTCTTTGAAAAAGAACCCTCGAGATGTAACTGCTTTGAGATTTGAGGTATATATGGCTCAGGGTTAGGGTAAGGCTTCTTAGTGGGCTGGGCTAGAATACAACCGCATATCGGCCCGCCATAACTGAAGCCTGTCAACTTTTTAGTTTTCTTTGATTATTTACAGTTTTTAAACATTTATGCACAAAAAACTGATATTTAAATTATATGATAGATACTTGTATGTAGGAAATTATCTACACTTTGATGATAGAGGATCGTTTGTTAATTAATAAATAGTAGAGGCAGTTATGAATCAGATTTTTTTTTCTTCTTTTCTTTTCTTTTCTTGTCCCTCTACTCAGGGCCGGTTCTGAGATTTTAGGGGCCCTGTGCGAAAAGTAAACACAGGGTCCTTCTCTATCATTAATTGGGGTCTTCCACTACATGAACCAAATCCTCCGAAAACCCCCTGTTGCTAACATTAATTGGGGCACACGATTAACCAAATATAAAAACACAATGAACGGTGAACCCAAGAGCTACACGACTTGAACCGTGTTGTCCTTCTATTGAATCTTGAGTAATCCAATTGATAATAGAGATTACCCAATTAGGCAGAATTAGCAAATCTTGTCTGCAACAAATCAGCAGTCCATCACTGCACAGTTATAGACAAAGCTTCCCGAGTGCTTACTAGCAATCATATTCCACTCTGGCGGTCCGTCGCTGAAGCAATTCATCAAACGCCTTATACGCAACACCCAAAACCCACTACCAACAAGGCAACAAAACAAATACCTGCATCGACGACATCCCCAAGTCCATCAAGACCCCATCCACGCCCTCATTTAGCAGATTCTCATCAATCCCGCCAAGCACAGACTTTACATACCTAAAATTCCTCAAATGAGCATAAGCCTTCAACCCCTCAGAACCCTTCAGCAGCTCCTCAATCCGAGCTCGGCCTTTCTTGTGGGGGACCGGGTTGACGTCCAGCCCAACATAGACCTCCAGCTCCCTATGCATCTCTTAGTCTCTATAACCTTACAAAACCAAGCACAACAACATCACCAAACCGTATCCGTATCCGAGGAAATATCCGTAACCGTATTCGTTAGGATGCGAATATGGTTACTCAAATCTATAACCGATAGGATATGGTTATGGATATGGTTTTATAGTGAAATGTCTGTATCCGTACCCGAAAATATCCGAATACATATTGGTCATACTCTTGCGATAGTTTCGAGTCTTAGATTATGGATTTGTGATTAATTTTGATGATCAAGATGCCTAATCAAAGCTTTTCAATCATAATGAACATATTAACGAACTCTTTTTGTATCACATGACTATATTTTTCAGAATACTATCTAGTTTTCTAATATCCTTTTTGTATCTGCATGCATATCCGTTTATATATTTGTATCTATATCTGTAACCATATCCGATTTTGGCGGATATGGATATGAATTTTTCTTACCGACGTATATCCGTATCGATATCCGTATCCGAGATGGGTAAACGGATATGGATATGGTAAGTGTCATATCCGAGCCGTATCCGCTCCGTTAACACCCTAACAACATGTCAACATCAAGACCAAGAAACCAAATAAAAGGGAGAGAGTGGAACGGAGAGAGGATGAAAGAACGACGACGGAGGAGTGGCCGCGCGCGCCGAGAGTGCAGCGACGAAGAGACGGCGGCGTCAGGAAGGCGGAGGAGCTCGAGAGAAGAAATTTTTTTGGCCCCCAATTTTAGGGGCCCTGTGCGGTCGATCACCTCGCACACCCTCAGAGCCGGCCCTGCCTCTACTAAGTTGTAAATTACTAAAATTTGTGTGTACAATTCTTGGGATATTATTAGAATTTTTTAAAGGTGAGTAAAATAAGGGTAAAACACGAAAAAGAGCTTTTTTAAATAATACTAATAGATTTTCTTATATATATATATATATAATATATATATATATATATATATATATATATATATATATATATATAATATAATATATATATATATTATATATATATATATATATATATATATATATATATATATATATATATATATATTATATATATATATATATATATATTCATAATTGTTTATTTTAAGTTGTCATGAACCATGCATTTCTACCCTTTAATGAGAAGTGTATTAATAGGATTAGTAAATTAATCTTATTTGAATCAATTTATTATCATCTATAATAAGCATTATGCATGTGCTCACATGCGTGGATGTGATTTTTAGGTTTGTATATGTGATTTCTTTGTTCTATATGAGTTTCTTTTTTGGTTATGCTTATCATAGATCTCAAAATTGAATTGTACTATTTTTTCATTTTTTGTCACTTAAACTCTAATAGCTTTTGGCAAAAAACCCCCAATAACGGTTATTTGTAAAAGGAGTTATTTATAATATTCAAACATTGCGGATAGTTTTTTATGATTTTGAAATTTTAGGGTCTGCATGCAATTTTTAGATTTTTAAGAGGGTTTTTTGCAATTTTAACTTTTCACGAAGTTGTTTAGTTTTTAGAATTTTAAGGGTGTTTTTTGTAATTTTTATATTTTTTAAGAATTTGTTTGTAATTTTCAGATTAAATTTTCATGGAGTTGTCTACAATATCTGGAATTTAAAGAGGTTGTTTGTAATTTTCATATTTTTCAACAGGTCATTTGTTATTTCATATTTAATTGGGTTATTTGTAACTTTTATATTTTCAATGTTTTTTTTTGTAATTTTATGGGTTAATATGCAAATAGGTATGATTTGAGTAGTATACTTGGCTATGAGAAATTTGTTCATCAAAGCATAATTATGGGGTAACATTGTTATGTGGGTTAACTGCAAAACATCTAAAAATTTTAGAGGTTTTTTGAGATTTACAAACTTATCTAGGATTTCAAAAAGTTTTGAGGCTTAGTACCAAGCGAGTAAACTTGTTGAAGGTTTAGTGAAATTTAAGTTTTAAAAAATTTAAGAAGGGCCCATGACAATCTTTTGATAAGTAAGACTAATGATAGAATATCAGTCTTTTTTTATAATTATTAAAGAAAGGATTGTTACTTGCATATTTAATGAATTTAAAAAATTATAGGGGCTTAGTAATAAAACACCCAAACTTGGTGGAGATTTGGTAAAATTTAGTCTTTAAAAAATTAGGAACGGACACATTGTAAGTTTTTTTAGATGTAAGGCTAATATTAAACCACTAATCTCTTCTAAGTAAAAGAAAAGAGAATTAAAAATATGATATTAGATGTAATTTTATATATCGGTAGTTATGATTTGATTATGATTGCTAAATATTTGATTATAATTAGAATTTATGGATATATTTAATTTGATGAGGATTCTTAGATGAATATAAGACTAGATGTCCATGTGCCACCTTCCGATAAGACGTGTTTACTTGCCTATTTTTCCACTTGACACATGTCAATTGTTTATGCATTTAAGAGTACCGCCAATTTCTCTCTACATATCATACTTCTTTTAAAAGCACGAGTTCGGAAAAAACTTTTAGTAGACAAAAATATCCTTAGGATTTATATACTAATATATTAAGTAAGATTAAGTTTATAAATTGATGAATTCTTACTGCATATACATAGTATAAAAATAAGTGTACAAAACAATGTTCACAATCTAAAGGTTGGAGAAACCATGTAAGTTGGTCTACATAAAAGAGGGTCTACATAAAAGAGCAAACTCAATAGCTCGGCCCAGCCCATTTGAATAAAAGCCCTACATAAAAAGTTTTCAAAGACCAAATCTTCTCACGGCAAGGAAAAAAGTCATTAGCCAATCCTCTTTATGGAGTAATTACTTTCAAAGTTTAATTATATTGTTATTATTTAAATAAAACTCTATACACCATTGTTATCCTCTCACATACATCACATATCAATATATATAAGCCAAGAAATTACAATAATTTTCGTAGCACTTTCATCTCCTTCAACAGGTATGTCGACTTTGTTATTTCCTTCTTATTAGATTGGATTAGATTATTTTAAAGCAATTAATTATATTGTATGTTTGATCTTTTTTTCATATCAAGAAATATTAATAATTTTCATAGCACTTTCATCTACTTTCTTCTTATTACATTAGATTATTATAAAGCAATTAATTATATTATATGTTTGATCTTTTTTTAGTTCAAGGAATTGCTACAATTTTTAATTTTCACAGCACTTTCATCCTCTTCAACAGGTATATGTCAGTGTTATTTTCTTCTTATTAGATTAAATTAGATCGTTTAAAATTTTTGAATTATTCTCGTGAGATAAAATCCATCGATGGGTAATTTTGCGGAACATGCTAGCCACATCTTGGTGTTTATGCAAATGAGTTGTGTAGATCTTATATATGCATAATGTAAATATATCATAAGCTACACACATAGAGAAAAGTTCATTTTTTTAATGATTATTAATTTATCTTCTTCTAAAAGCCCGTGTGTGTGTGTGTGTAAGAAGTACGTTTATGCTTAAATTCTGCGATAGATCAATTAATATTTTTTTGAGAGCAAAACTTTAAACTTTTTTGTGTAAACGACAAGTGACGAAGTTTGAATTTTTTTTTGCTCAAAAATATTTTAGTTAACATCGAAAAGACATTCAAATTCCTGGTGAACTTAGATGAGAAGACAAAAAATGAACGAGGCGAAGGAAATATAGTAGCACAATAAATCCAACTCCAATGATAATATTTTTCGTACATTTTATATTATAATTTAATTTTTGAGTAAAATTAGGAATTTTCATGCAAAATTTGAGTAAAATTAGGAATTTTCATGCAAAATTTTTAGTATTTTTGTATGCTTATGTGATTGCTTTTATTATATAAAATTATACTATACTATAGTTACCATTAATCTTTAGATCTTGTCTTTTTATTTTTTAAGTCTATCAAATAATGTAGTCTCATATCTCACACACAAACACACACACATATGTATGTATGTATATATGTATATATAAATATAGACGTGCGCGCGCCCACACACGCACACATATATATATGAAAAAAATGGGTATGCT